TTAGCTCATCACAATGTTTGCACATGGTTTCCATTTTAGCAAGCGAACTTATATAAGCATCTTGTGAGCTAGCTAACTTTTCTTTTAATTTTTCATTTTTCTTTATAAGTTGCTCATCATTGATTGTGCATGCATTTGTTGTTGCACTAGCCTCAAGTTGCTCAATTTTAGTAGATAGCTCAATATTGAGATTAGCAAATGTCTCATATTGTTCAAGCAAGGTTTTATATGCTTCTTGTGAACTATCTAGCTTTTCTTTTAATTTTTCAAGCTTCTTTTGTTGACTAGTGCAAACTTTAGCAAAGTTAAGATTTTCTTGCACAATTTCATCCTAAGAAGGTAGCTCATCATCACTATCACTATCACTAGGGATAGACTTTTTGTTACCTCGTGCCATAAGGCACACACGTGAAGTGCTTAATGATGAGTGCTTGTGCCCACGCCTCTTGTGGTGGTCTTCTTCTTCACTTGAAGAATCATCCCATGACCTTATTGATGTGAGGGCTTTGTCCTTGCATGCCTTCTTCTTTGTCTTGGGTGTGGGCTTGTTTGGACAAACTTCCACAAAGTGCCACAACTCGCCGCATCCATAGCAACCTTTCTTTCTTTGCTCATTTCTTTGATTGGTGAAGATAAAATCTTGAATTTGGATGGGCACACCCTTGACATTGAGTATTTCGATCATCTTCTCCACCTTGTTGATAAGCTTGATAGATTCTTCATCAAGATCAGAGGTGGAGGAGGAAGATTGATCATCATCACTTGATTCTTCGTCATCGTCATCATCATCATCATCTTTTTCTTCATCTTCACTTGAGGAGCTTGAGCTTGAGCTTGTCTCAACTTGCTTGCCCTTCATCTTCTTTTTCTCACTACATACGAGAGCTTTGCCTTTGCTTGATGAAGAGACTTCTTCTTAAACCATCTTGCGTGACATTTCAAATGCCACTATCTTGCCAATAACTATGGCTGGGGTCATGGTGCTCAAGTCCTCCATGTTGTGAAGGATGGTGATGATGCTTACATATTTCTTTTATAGTAGCACGGAGATGATCTTCCTCATGATGTCCGCATCATCTAGCTTTATTAATCCTATTGAATGGAGCTCATTGATAATTAAATTCAAACGAGAATACATATCACGAACAAGCTCATCATCATTCATTTTAAAGGAATCATAATTTTGTTTAGCTAGACAGTGTTTTTGCTCACGGACATTAGTTGTGCCGTCATGGAGCTCTTGGAGTTTTAACCAAATTTCATGTGCCGTATTTAAAGTGAACACTTGGTTAAACACATACATGCTAAAAGATTCAAAGAAGCAATTTTTAGCTCTAGCATTGAAATGAATTTCTTTTTCTTCACTCTTTATGGGTTTATCGGGATTCTTAATGGGTTTCATTCCATCACGAGTGACTCTCCAAACACCCAAATCTACCGCCTCAAGGTGACAAGCCATTCTAGCTTTATAGTAGGAGAAGTTAGTGCCGTCAAAGTGCGGAGGCCTAGAGATATCCATCCCAACCACTCTAAATAGCGTCGGCTCAACGGCGATGAAGCCAAAGGTCCAAATTGAGCCAACCGGCTTTGATACTAATTGAAAGGGTACCGTGACACCTAAGAGGGGAGGGGGTGAATTAGGCAACTTAAAATTCTAACTCCAAACTATGGCCTCTTTTTCTATCCCTAGCAAAACATATGCAAAAAGATAAACTATCTAAATGTGCAACTACGATTTTGCTAGTTTGTTGCTATCTCTACCGCAAAAAGGAGTAATGAAAACAATATAAATGTGGAAGCTAAAGAGTAAGGTAGAGATATGCAAACTCCCGTCGACGACTCCGGTATTTTTACCGAGGTATTGAGAAGTGCGCAAGCTTCCCCCTAGTCCTCGTTGGAGCCCCTCGTAAGGAATCCCTCGTAAGGGCCAAGCTCCTAGTCGGATAACTCTATGGATAACCCTGGGCCTTACCCACCCGTAAGTGGGTCTCCGGTGTGCCTTCCGACAAGCCTCTCCCAGACCGCCCCCCGCCGTCTTCACTATTAAGCTTCCGGCCGAAATGTCGTGGGCCTTGTTCCCTCCGGTACACGATGGCGGCCACACCACAAACGCGGTTGGTGTGATCTCGCAAGACTACAAGCCCCTTTGATGTACAACAATGGTGCGCGCGAGCACCGAGTGGTAAGAGGTATGTAAACCTCACTAAACACTAGGCCTAAACCTAGAGCAAGCGCATAAGCGGTGGTCTAATCAACCTAAGCACTTCGCAAAGCACCTACGCTAATCACCTAATGAATCACTAAGCACGATGCAAGCGGAGATCATTAAAATAGTGTATCAACACCCTTAGTATGTTTCCTTAGCTCCACTATACTCAAATGGATGGTTGGGGGGTCTATTTATAAGCCCCACTGAGAAAGTAGTCGTTGGGGATGAAACCCACTTTTCTGCTACTAACCGGACGCTGCTGTCGTCCTGATTGGATGCGTCCAGTCGTCCCGACCGTTAGAATGCGCGTGTTGATCGGACGCACTGCCGAGTCCGGTCCCTGTTGATCGGACACGTTCGGTCGCGCTGTCGCCGCTCTAGAACCTCTCTGGACTCGATCGAACGCTGCAGTTCCTGGGTCCGGTCGATTATCCACCAACGTCCGGTCAGTGCTGAATGTGTTGCCAGGATGATGAACAGTGCCATCGTCGCGTCCGGTCACTGTTAGTCCTCAGCGTCCGGTCGCTGCTGCTGACACCTGCAGTTGCCGAGCAACTGATCGGACGTGTCCGGTCCCTATAAGGGCCGCGTCCGATCACCTCTGTCGAGCTCGTTTCTTCTCGATCTTGCATCCGGCTTGGTTCTCATCTTCATGCTTGAATATGCTTGATATCTTGGGTCTTCTCTTGTGTTTCTAGGGTCTTGCTTAAGGTGTTGATCATCGGATCATCATGTCGCCTTCGTCCAAGTCACATCTTACACCCTATTGAACTATAAAACAATCGCTTGCAAATTCATTAGTCAAATTTAGTTGTGTTGGCCACCAAACACCAAAACCCAAAGTAAATGGGCCTAGAGTCCATTTTCCATACACCTGCCGTGCTAGGAGGGGTGGCGCGACAGGTCCACAGACCGTTTGACTGCCACGCTGGCATCCCTACTGCACCATGTGATGTGGCACTGTTTTTGCCATGCCAACAGTCTTGGCGTGGCTAAAGGAATTAGATTTAAAAATAAAAGAGGAGTGGAATTAAAAATAAAATTTCTTCTGAAAAAGGATTAGAAATAAAAAAAAATTACGTGCGTCGATCTTGTGAGGCTTCTTGATGATGAAACCGTCTTTAACCAGCTGCTGGATGTTTTGGCCTGCAAGGTTTGTTGGAAAACACGGTCATATTTATGTTCCTTTCAGTAGTCAGCACAAGCGCACAACACAAGATGTTACGGTTTCCATGTTTAAAAGTAGTATATATGAAGACCCATCATTCAACGGACGGCCAAGGGGAATCGAAAATGTTGACAGAATACAACACAACTTTCACTCGATCGGTGACAATCAAGGCAGCACATAGAATGTTGGCATGGTAAAACTGACGATGCTCAAGGTGGAACAGTTTTTATCCTAAACTTGAAACATTTTTCTTGTAAACCTAGAACATTTGTTCTAGATTCGTGTAGAAACTTCTTGTCTAAGGGTTTGGTTGCTCCATGCTACAGTGTCGAGGAGCTAGAGCCGGAGGAGCCCTCCTCCTAGCTTATACCTAGTCCATTTTAGGCCCTCTTTGGCGCAACTCCTAGGGGCTCTGGCTCCTTATCTCGTGGCACTGTAGCAGGAGCCGTTTCGGAAATCGAGGCAGAAAATGAACTGAGGAGAGGAGGAGCCGGAGAAGCCACGATTTCGAGCTTCTCCGGCTCCATGCTACAGTAGTGGAGCCGAAGCCGGTGAGAGCCATGCCAAACGGGCCCTAAGATAGGAGAGAGAAAAACAGCTCCAACAAACAGTACCTGCATAGTGCATGATTTGAAGGAGCCAGGCCCGGCCCTGGGGGGGTGCGAGCTGTGCATTGGCACAGGGCCCTCGAAGCCAAGGGGCCTAATCCCAGGTATGTACACACTATAAGCTATAGCTGGTATACTCAGGTCCAATAGAAAATCATATATGTGGCCCAAAAATACTGGAGCGTGTGAGGAAGAGTCCGTCAATTTCACTTCCGCCGCGGCCGCTCTCTTCGTCGCTTCATAGCTGCGTCTTCGCGTCCGGCATCATTCTTGCGCGTTGTCGTAAATGAAGGGCCCATCTTTCTGGCCAAGCTCCAGGCCCATAAATTGACAGGACCGGGCCTGGAAGGAGCCATACCTGGATAGTGCATGATTTGAAGCAGCCTGGGCTCTAGGAGCTCTCCCACGGCTCCTAACTTTATAATAACTATCCAAAGTGAAACTATGAAATGCTGAGGCAGTAGATGCCCACGCCCCACCATCAATATATATGAGGAAGCCGGACATCAGCGCCATGCATGTAGATCGACAAGAAAGTATGAATAGCTCAGGTACTAAAACATCGAGATTAAACAGCAAGGTATGTGATAAAATGATAACGAGAACATGAGTTTACATCCACTGCATCATTCATCAACATCGTTTTCATTCATCAGACGCTCCAAGGTCGAGAAATTCCTCAGCGAACTGGGGGTTGAACTTTTTTACAATACTACTTCTAATCTCGATTTAGAACTGGAATATATTGGTAGTGTTTACAGCGACAATGGAGATGGTCGCCGCCGGCAACTCAAGCCGCCGCTCGCCACTCGCAACCGGCAACAACCAAGTCCGATTTCTCCTGTCCCCTCTGTTACAAACAAGACGCAGCTGGGCCTAACTATTTGCTCCATTCTGGGCCTGCGATATGTGTGTTGGGCTTCCTGGGCCTCTTCCTTGGTAGGCTTCGGTGACCCACCCCAACGTCCGTGACAAACTTCTGAACAAATCTCCAAACAATACCCATGTTTCTCTATATCAGAGCTTCGGCGTCAGGATCTGGACGACGGAAGGCCCAGTCGATGCTGGAGGGGTCGAAATCTGGATTGGCAGACTGAACAAGCGCCAAAAGGTAGCCTGAACAGGAAGTGAGAGTATCGATCAGGTGGCATTTGGCTTTCTCTTTGGAAGTCTTTAGTTTCTCCAATGCTGCCTTCTTCTCAAGCTTAGCAGCCTTCAGCTGGCTCTTGTAGGACTCCACCTGGCTTTTGAATTTCTTCAGCTCGGCATGAAAAGTTTCGATTTCAGAATCCTGCGCAGACTTATCCCGGATCATTTTATCCTGCTCGACTTCAAAAGCTGTAAACAAGAACCAAGAAAGATTAAGAGGATTTCTTTACCAAATCATAACCCTGATGACCGACTGGAGGAGATTACCAGTAATAGCAGCTTTATGATGCTCCCCCGAGCCAAGCCAAGCAACCTCCTCCTCATCATCATCAAGCGTCTGAATCCTCTTTCTCAAGGATTTCACCTCAATCTGACATTTCTCCAACTCTGGTCTCGCTGGCTTCAATTCGGCCTCCAGCCCTGCTTTCTCACATCTGAGAGCAGTTCCAACCTCACCCAGAGCTTTAACCTGGGATCTAAGCCCAGGGATCTCCTCAACCTGGCTCTGGAGAGCTTGACATTGGGTCCTCAGAGTGCTGTGCTCAACTTATAGAGCATTTTTCTCCTGTTCCAGAGAACCAATCTTGGATCTAAGCACGGGAATCTCCTTGACCTGGCTCTTGAGAGATTCACATTGGGTCTTCGTATTGTTATGCTTGGCTGGATGCAAACACAGAAAGACAAGCATCACGAATGCAGCTGAATGCGATTGAGACCACGATTATCACAAGGAGAAGCTTACCATCAGCATAGGCCATTCTTTCTTTCAAGAGGGCCAGTGATTTTTTCACGTCGAGTTGCCCTTGGAGAGCCTCAACCTTAGCCTTGAGAGCATCATTCTGGGCAGCTTTCTCAGTCATAGCCACCAGATCCTTCTCAACTCTCAAGAATCGGCAACATCTTTTGAAAGTTCTGAACACCAGGGGAAAAATTGTAAGCATCTGAAGATATATATGGATACAAAGAAATAAACAATCTTATCAAATTACCTCCACTATTCGGATAGTGGCAGCCTCGACAGTGTCTGTTATTTGAGCAAGCGAAGGGGAAACAGAGGTTGCTGGATCATGTTCTGGGGCCGGTTGGTTGTGTGTGATCACATTACTCTGAACATGCGATGGCAGACACACAGCCAAGGCTCCAGTCTCTGCTTCGAGACTACACGCTGAATGGAAATCTATTGGAGCCAAGGCTTTTCTCCCGGTGGGACCAAGGTCCTGAAAGCAAATATGTAAAATTCAGAAGCTGTGTTTGTGATGCTTAGTGTATGGGATGCCTTGTTATGGAAAGTTACCAATGTGGTGAATTATGCAGCTGCTCGAAAAGTCAAAAATCATTGAATCGAAATCTAAAAAAAATGAAACAAGATAAGCATCGGGCTATTGGGTTACCTTTCATACTGGGAGATGCAAAGACCCAAACTAGGATTAGGTAGTTTATGCACCAGAGTGATTCCAGTGGCAGGAGATTGAGGGGGTGCAGGAGCAGCAAAATTGATTCCAGTGGTAAAACGTGACCTTGTG